GAGCTACGGCCCAGACAGAGCCAAAAATACCGAGATAGAACAGCGCCGTTCTATCGTGTGTGATTTCAAAACCAAGGAATAGCTCCGGATCGATGATTGTCGCGAGTGCAAGGACAGATGCAAGCGCACTGGCGATAAATGCTACAAACCGAGCAAACTGGACTGTCTTGTTCTTGGGGAACTGTGCAATGTATTCGTTAGCAGCAAGACGCGACATGTTCGTGCGCCGTTCAAATAGATGCCAGAGTTCATTGAACTCGCGGAATTTCCATTCGGCGAGTGGTGTATACTGTCGCGACCCGATCTGGGACGGGTTCTTCTGGTATTCACTAAAGTAACGGAAGAAATAGTGCATGAGGAAATAGGTGACGATGAAAGGGGCAACAAAGATGTTCATGAAGCCTGCCAGGATGAAGCGGCGCCTCAGGCCATCGCTCAGAGCCTTGCGGTGTGTATCTTTGAGGAAAAGAGGTCGGAGTTGGCCCTGTTGGTTAAATGCGTAGTCCAGCACGCAGAGGTTAAGGTTCCATTCCAGGGTGCGGGAGAAGAGTTGGCGGCTGCGGAGGAAAGGCAAGGGAAGTGTGAGATCGAGGATATCTTTGTTGAAGAGGGCGATGAGGTAGTTCTCCCGTCTCATGAGGCGGTTGGCAATATCATGTGCATCCATTCGCTGCTTAGACTGACTGCCTAGAAAGCGACGATGTTTGGCGGATACAGCGGCCGCCGTGGACGGGTTGGAGTCTCTGAGAGCCATCAGCCGACTAACAACCTGCTGCCACGAGACGGTTTGGATGTCTGCGTCCGGAATGCCGAGGAGGTGCTGGTAGAAATCTTGCATCTGTCGAAGACGGCGGAAGTCCACGGCGTATTGAAACAGCTTCCCGATCCAGAATATGGTGAAGAGCCAGAGCAAGAAGGTCGAAAATCCGGACATCTTGCGAACACATCCTGGTATGATGATCTGGGACATCGTCTTGCTATGGGGCACCTTTCGATAGTCGATACAGCTGGAGAGAAACGTAGTAAAGCCAACAACAAAAGCTAGGGTTCTGTTGATGCCATGTTAGCAGTTGTCATAGGAAGCTCCAGTTGAAGATGAAGCTGTACTGACATCAAGCTAAGCGTCCTGCTTAGCATTATACTCCAGATACCGTTCCCAAGGAAATAATCGTAGACTTCCTGCAAGAAATTATCCAAGTTCTCGACATTCGCCCATCTCCACAGAGCTTTCTCTTTCGGATCCGCAAGCGCCAACCCAGCATGCTGTTTTACTCCCCACACGCGCGGATGTCCCTCCTGGTCGTTTCTGGGGATAGCCGGTGCAGCTGTCTCCCACCTATTTCGTGTCTGGCTTGACGTTGACGGGCCTCGAAGATGGAGTGAATGTTCGCCTATATCGCTTGACCGTCGAGGTTGTAAAGGCGGAGGCGGCAGAGGTGACACTGGCACCGCGTTACCCTCCACCAGCAACGAGGCCGGAACTTCATCGTCGGCCTCTTCGGTGTCCTCTGCCCCAGCAGGCGTAGCGGTCATCATGGTCGTGTTCCCAAATCCTCCTCTCGGCGCAGATCTCGACCGGCGTGAGAACGGACTGCTCTGTCTAGACTGACTATCAGAGGCGTGCGTGAGGGCATCTTCCAGCTCATAGTCTGCATACTGGTCTCCAAGATTCTCTTCATCAACCGCCATACCGGCGCGGTTCTCGATATCGGAGCCATCGGAGTCGTTATCATATTGTCGTAGGGTCTCGTAGATGGACGGGGCGGTGGTACTGCTCGTTGGCATGAAACGGTTCATCATGTTTGACGTCATGAATATGTGAGATACTGGCTATGGATCGAGGATACAGCTTCTCATAACAGCGCTGCGCAGCGGGTCAACGCCTCGCAGGCAGGAATCATGTTCTATACTGCTGTCAAGTCAGTTTCATGTTGACATACGGACGGCTTCATCTCGTGAGCTCTTCTCTGCTGCGGCTCTACGGGCAGGGTCACAAGGAAGTGTCTGGTGGTGAGAAAGCTGGAAGAAACGCACCTCGATACAAGAAGCAGACGTTGGACGAGCCGTGGATAGATATACAGGCACTCCCTATACGGTGTTTCTCCCCTTTTCCTTTTATCGGCTCGTTCAACGCATGCGACTTTGATCTTTTGCTTCTTCAAGTCTTGAAAACCGGAGAAAACCATATCGGTCACGTGATTGATACAGGGTCTATGATGCTATGCCAGGGTTACTATTTTACATGTATGGGGCGGCTAGTTTGGTAGAAGAGGGAGGATGCGTAATGCTGTTTGTCTGTGATGATTCATGCCTGTTTATATGGATGTTCGTGGTTTGGTAGCGATCTGAGCTATATATCTAGTTATAGGCAGACTCTCATCATGTGAGCTCGATGGTAGCGGTCTATATAGAACCAGGGCTTCTGCAGCCTAAGCAGGCCGACAGTCCCATCCGGATGACATCCCTCTCACGCACCCAGGCATAAAGACAAAAGTACTATACGTATTTTGTGATGGGTATATATACGTATGCTTGGGCCCAGGAATCCGGTCACTAGCTTCGCAGCTAGCTAGCGGCTGACAAGGATAGGGATCGGGACCTGGTAAAATATTGGAGAGGGCAGGATAAACAGGGCCAGCCGTGCTCTCTGCAGAACCGGTATCGGAATCTCAACGTATCGCTAAGAGTAGCAGCTGGCGTGAGGCCGAACATGGTCCGATGATAGAGCCAGCCATGAGGAGGTGAAAAAAACAAACAAAACGGAGATCCCATCAGCAAAAGGAATAACGAAAGACAGGCCGTTGAGACGTCACTGCCTCCTCGAATATCCATAGTATAGGCCACGGCCAAGCGTCAACAGCGGAAACGGACACGTCGACAGAGCTGCCAATAGCTCGGCTCTGTTGTAAATGTATCGAAGAGGCAGCTATCCTGTCCGTACGGAGCACAATAGCTGGCGATGTACCGTCCTTTTCGTCGACGGGAAAAGAGGCCAGGATCGTGGTCCCTTTTTTCCTTTCACCGCTTGTCCTGGTAAGAAAGCTGCCCTTGCATGTTCCCGTCGCCGTCAGGGCCATGGACCGTCTCAAGCTGGGGTCGAAGCTCTCGTAGAGTAAAACACTCGATACAACCGTTCTTGTCCTGTCTTTCGCTGTGTTGGACTTGGTCTCTTTTTTTTTCGCTCTCTCCGGTAGACCATGCAGGAACATGTCATCTTGCTTCTTCCACCATCTTCTACTCTCCCTTCGCCCGTCCTTCTAGTCGTTCTAGAAAAGACACAGAAAAAGATGACCTGTTAACTTGCTTTTCCTTTCTTCTTCCTCTTCTTCTCTTCTTCTTCTTCTTCTTTTCCTTTCGAAAGAAACAAAACCAAAAAAAAGGAAGGCCGCTGACTAAGCTGGGAGGGGGGAAAAGTTGCCCTTTTTGGACTTTCTTTCTTCACCTTTTTTTGCTTTGAATATCGAAAAGAAAAAAAAAACCGCCAAAACGACGAGGAGAAGAAGAGGAGGAAGAAAGTCGAGCTTCTCTCTTCTGCTGCCTTGATACATCTCAAGTCTCTTGTCTTTTTCTTCCCTTCCTTTGTTCTTCCCTTCGTGTCCTTTTATTTTGCGTTCCTCGCTGCGGTGCGGCCTCGCCTTGCCTCTCCGGTATACACCTTGTTCGCCCCCAGCTGTCGTCTGGGAAAGGGTAGAACCTCGATCTTCGGCCCGGAGGACATGTAGGGCGGGCGAATTCTTCTGTCAAGGTATCTTCCACCTGCGGTTCAGTCGTTGTTGGCCTCTTCGACTCTGTCGTTGCGGTCAGTCGTTGGCTTTTTTACGTTTTTGTTCGGCCGTGGAACGCTTCTTGTTTGACTGACCCAACTATGCATGTCTTCCTCAGGCTCTCTCTCACTCCCGTCTCTCTCTCAACGCCCACACACACACACACACTCTCTCTCTCTCTCTCAACAATCAGATAGCTTCTTCATTTTGAGATCTCGACACACGCCGTCCAGGGTTCACGGCAGATCGATGATTATATTGTTCTTGTGTCTGAAAAATTTCATTTTGCGATTGTCTTGCTACCCTACTCTGGACATAACCGGCTGTGCCTGAACCTGACGAACCCCCTCCCCACACACACCACCGCTAAGGAGTGGCCGTCCTGTCACTGATGAATAGCCAACCTCCTCTTCTCCTTGATATGCGGATAGTGGCGGTAGAGTCGGCTTTCAGATAACCGAAAAGGATTATGGACTCTGAGCGCCAGAACGGCTTTCAGAGGGACCTAGACATATACGCACGACCCATTGAACGCCGCCCTAGCAAAAAATCTTCCTCCAAGGACCGCCACGGGATGGTTTATCCAGACCACTTCGGGGAAACCTCCATACGGTCCGTCAGCCCTCAGGAGGAGTCGCTCTCCGATGCACAGAATCATTCGCCTGCATCAGATGCCGAGTACCTGGCCAGCGCAACCGCCTCCCCTCGAACCACGCTTCGCGGAAAGCCGCGTGATCGACGGCGTGAGTTCAGCCCCTTCCACGCCGGACATAATAATAATAAGCCCAATGACGATGATCTCCCCGTGCCAGATTCGCGAAGTCTAAGAGCCAGGTCGAAAACCACCACCATGGAAGACCAGAGAGGTGACCTGCCGTCCAGCACCTTTCTGGGCCGGACCAGGATGAGATTAGGTTCGCTGACCACCGCTGCTTCGGCCAACATGGCATCGGGATCGCCACAGAGCCCCCGGCCGCCGCTTCAGGACGAATCGATTACCTCCATCGGGTTTCCCTCCATCATTCAGTCGCCCGGACCACGCCCTCGTTTTGTCAAATCACAGTCGGCTCTCTCGCCCGGCCTGCCTCCGTCCAACGCCTCAAGCCCCGGACCCTATGTATCTCAAATGCTGAACCCGGATTCATCCAAGATACTCGATCTGATGAAGTCTACTTGCGGTAGAATGCACGGAATCCTCTCCTTTCGAATATCCGGATCCCCTTCCTGGACGTCAGGATACTGTGCCATTAACGTTGCTGCAGGAAGCCTCATCTACCAAGCAAAGGGCGAACCCAGCCTGGCAAAGACCCTCATCCCCGACCTCCGCGGCTGTCGCGTTCGTACCCTCTATTCTACAGAAATACAAAGCACATACCTCAGCGTTTCGACTTACTCCTCCACCCTTAGCGTACATCTGCGCCCCCATGTGAAAGAGACCTTTGATTCCTGGCTTGCTGCCCTCTTGTGCTGGCAACCCATTCGCCCAAAGGGCGTCCAAAATAAAATGACTAAGCCCCAGTCAGTCGCCATAACTGAACGGCGTCTCGCAGATCGCCGGAGAAATTCAGAGAGTACCTTACAGAAAGAAGCAACCATTATCAAAGTAGGCAAGATGTTATTGTGGGATAGACAGAGTGCTTCAGGCGTATGTCCGCCACCGACCCCAAGGCGGATATCAACCTTCAAGCAACAACGAGCACTTTCACATTATTGGCGGAAGGTGAACTGCACATTACAAGAGAACGGCCATATGAAAATTGTTACAGAAGCCGGAACAAATCTTGTATCTTTCATACAGCTCTCTCAACTCTCACGATGTGCCATTCAGAAACTGGACGCTTCCGTTCTGCAGGACGAGTTCTGCATAGCTATATATCCTCAGTATGCTGTTCACGCTGGAAGTGACCACTTGACGCGCCCTGTCTACCTCTCCATGGAAAGCCGTGTACTGTTCGAAGTGTGGTTCGTCCTGCTCCGGGCGTTTACAATTCCTGAACTCTATGGCCCCGAACTGCCCCCCTCAACCGACGAGCTCGGTCGTCCTCATCCCTTAGCCATGTCCCAGACAGTCCCAACTACAACGACAGATATGTTCCGAATCGAGCGCCTTCTCAATGTCCGTGTGATTGAAGCCAAGATTTTCCCGCAGGCAAAGGCCGAGCAACCCGAAAAGAGCAAAAAGTCCTCCAAGCAGCAACAAGGCCCTTCTCAGGCCGCCGGGGATTACTATGCCGAAGTGCTTCTTGACGGCGAAGTAAGAGGCAAGACCGCGGTGAAGAGCGGCACCTCTTCCCCGTTCTGGCGAGAGGATTTCACATTTCATGACCTACCCCCTGTCCTGTCAAGCGCTACTGTGGTAGTAAAGTCTCTCAATCCTGTACAGAAAGACTGGACGCTTGTCTCTCGTGGAACTTACACACCCAATGATAGTGATCGCGAGCATGACCCGTTAACAGTTCTAGGTGACGTAGAAGTAGCCTCCCAAGATACCACATTTGGCAGAATAGACCTTCCTCTGGACAGCCTAGATGCCGGTAACGGGTCTGAAAAATGGTGGCAGATCCTTGATGATAACGATCAGCCAGTTGGCGAAATGCTGATGCGTGTCCAACTCGATGAAACGGTTGTCCTGATGTCGCAGGAATACAAAGTCATGTCCGAACTTCTCCACTCCTTCCCGAACGGCCTCACAGTTCATCTCGCAGAGCTCGCACCACAGGAGCTCCGGCAACTCTCCGAAATATTCCTCGACATCTTCCAGGTGTCCGGTCAAGCAAGTGAATGGGTCACTGCGCTCGTCGAAGATGAAATCGACGGCCTCCACCGAGAAACATCTGCCAGTCGCCTTCGCTATACCAGCCGCATCCACTCCAATGACTCCTACGAATCGGGACAGGAACGAGAAGTGCTTGTCCGTGACCTGGGCCGCTCTGCAACTGTCGAAGCCAATCTACTTTTCCGTGGAAACTCACTGCTTACCAAGTCCTTAGACATGCATATGCGTCGGCTAGGGAAAGAGTATCTCGAAGAAACTATTGGCTCAAGTATAAGAGATATTGATGAGAGTGATCCGGACTGTGAAATTGATCCAAATCGTGTCAGCAGGCAAGAAGACCTAGAACGTAATTGGCGCAATTTGATAATTCTCACAAGTAATATGTGGCAGTCAATTGCCGGGTCAGCTTCGCGATGTCCACCGGAACTGAGATATATATTCCGGCATATTAGGGCTTGTGCGGAGGACCGGTATGGTGATTTCCTCCGTTCTGTTACCTACAGCAGTGTTTCGGGATTTCTGTTTCTACGGTTCTTTTGCCCTGCAATCCTGAACCCGAAACTGTTTGGCCTTTTGAAAGGTACTTTGTCATCTTACTCTCTCAATAAGCCCCCTAGTTACTGACACAATCTATAGAACACCCACGAGCTCGTGCTCAGCGAACATTGACATTAGTCGCAAAAGGTCTTCAGGGTCTTGCGAATTTAACAACGTTTGGAAACAAGGAGCCGTTTATGGAGCCCATGAACAAATTTCTTATGTCTCATCGGAATGAGTTCAAGGATTTTATCGATGCAATTTGCGCCATACCCGCCGAGCGCCCACCACAAATAGTTAACCCCTCATTCGCAACTCCTATCCAGATTCTTGGACGCTTACCTCCAACTTCCCGAGAAGGATTCCCTAGCTTGCCATTCCTGATTGACAATGCTAGAAGTTTTGCATGCCTGGCGCGCGTATGGCTGCAAGCTGCACCAAGTGGTCTTACAGAAATTCCCGACATGGACGTGAATATTCTCAAGTTCCATTCGCTATGTATTGAATTGGAGAACCGGACAAAAGAGTCGCTCAACAAGGCGGAGCAGGCGGAACAGCCTAGTGGTAATCTTGAGGTAAAATGGGAAGAAATCGCCGAGCAAGTTGAAAAGTCTGGCACTTTCTATGATGAAAGCTCAAGTAAAGCCAACACGCCAAGTAAGGAGTCTGCTATAACGAACGTCAACTCTACATCGGCAAGCAACAATCGAAATTCGATCGGCTATTTCCCTCGCACACCATATCTAAAGTCCACCGAGGCCAGCATTAGCGACGACCCTGATGACGATACCCCTTCCAGTGCCACATCCGCTCCCTGGGAACAAGGTCGCCCAACCTTCACTCAACCAAAATACTACGCTGATTCCCGGAAGAGTACTGAGAGCCTACAAAACCCTTCCACCGTCTCATTAACACAGACGGAGACGCCCAAGAATCGACAGTCAGGCATGTCCCGCGACTCAGGGAAATACCGTCTTTTTGAGTTCGTCGATAGGACTAGACGGAAAGGAAAGGAGAGAGAATCGTCACAATCTCAAGGGGCCACGCACCAGTCGGATGTAGGTCCGCGAAATGAATTTATATGATTGACGCAACATATAGCCAATCCACGGCTGCACATTTTCTAGTTCAACTTTTTGAAACGTGAGATGACTGGAAAATGAATATTTCGTTTACATTTATTACCCCGATCTTTTATTATATAGTACCGGTTGAAATATCCTTGCTTTCCGTTTCACTCACTCTCTGCTATATATTCTGTTTTGCAAATTCCCAGCGCTTGTCTTTCCTCAGAGCTTTTTATTATAGCCCGTTTGATATCTTTTTTATTTTCTCCTTTTCTCATTCTTGCATTTGGGTTTGGGTCATGATAACGGAGACCCCCCTAACGTCGCTCTATCACCTATACTTCGTGTTCTTTCCCTCCCCCTTCTTCTCTTTCTATTTCTATTTCATCGTCATCATAACCGCATTTCTTCTTATACTGCGAGAGATATCCCACAACCCGGGAATGGAGCTGGATGCCCATATACATGGGCAGGTTTGAGTACCCAAGCCGGCATGGGAATGAGGAAATACAACAAATAACAATTACAAAAATACCTCACCTTTCTCAACATATGTGTGTGTGCCGTATGGTGGTGCTGGGGGGAGGGGAGGACATTTTTGATAACGTGGTGCATTTCTCATGGTGTTGGATATACCCAATGGGTGAAGGAACTAGGGGAAGGGAGGCAGGCCTTAGGCCTTTACTTGACGACTCAAATCAACATCATTTGACGAATTTCTCATTATCTTTTTTTTCTTTTATCCTCGTCTCCAATATTTCATCTTCACCTACTGACTGGCCCATGTAAGATTAATCCTCTTTTTTTTTCGAAAAAAACCTGGTGGTTTCCTCATTCTTATGCATTATCTGTTTTATCCTATTTGTCACCGTCATCAATTATGCAGATAGATTTATTTCTTCCTTTTTCCTTTCTTGTGATCCTTCGCCTCCAACCCTTTTCTGTTGCTAGAAGTAGCCTCTCTCCTGTCCTGGGCCTGCATCATTCTATGAAAGCGGCCTTTTATGGACGAGATGAGGTCTACGAGGAGCCTATACCTTGAACGACTGATAATGACCAGATGTCTTTCTTATTTCATCTCTTTTCAAAATGCGTATTTCACCCCCAAAACTTCGTCGTTTTGATATCTTCGTGGGCCAAAGCCATATCACGTGATAACTATGTTCTAACTTCACGCGACGCGACGAGAAAGCAAAGAAACAAAACATCTTTCGACGTCAAGTTTATAATCGAATAGCTTAGCGACTTGCTCGTTTACTCTGTAGAGTCAATTTCTCTCTTAAATCCCCTCTTCACCAGCCACTTTTGTTCTTAATTCCTTGGGGGAAGATACGGGCTAATAAGTTGGCATGTCAAAAGTGTGCGACCAGTACTCCCCCTTTCAACGTGCGTTTCTTTGCAACAGAATATTGGATTTTCACAGAGGAATTGATGACTATCTATAGGTTGCTGTATATTCCGAGGACTTCGTCGGCGGTTAAAAGAAAAGGAAATAGCATTGCGCCAGGAACTTCGCATCGTCAATTGAATTCCTCAGCAGGATGACATCGTTGTCGTCCTCGGGGGCACTGTCAATATTCTCGGAAAATGATGTGCAACCTACAACAGAAAACTCCTCTGTGAACAAGGAATCCTTCGGGAAAGACAATTTTCAGCCCAAGGAAGTACATATTGAAAAGGAACGACAGTTAGTGGGTGTTGTCTGTCCACCTCTGACTAGCCCACTATCTGCATATGAGGGCCAACCGGCTCCGTATAAAATCTCCAAAGAGCGGCATGCGGTAGATACCCTACTACTTGCGGGCCCAGACTGCGCTCGCGAGGACTTTGATGGCTCTCAATATGTCAATTTTATTCTCGATGACTATACAGTCTACAGCCGGACGGATGGGAATGGACGTCGTGCTGGGATGGTGCCGTTGAACGATGTTGCCAACAAGGAAGGCGGAACGACGTTTTACTTTGACGGTATAATTAAACCTGAGGGTAATACGGGTTCAGAGGTTGGCCTGCTATATCTCCAGCGAGTTTCGTTCAGCCTTGTTTCTCTAGGGGGCTATGAAGACCCTGGTCGACACAGTGTGGGGGGGGATATCTGGATCCAGTCGAGATACTGTCATAGCCGAGGGAACATATGGTACCGTATAGGGAAGCCGTCAGCAGTTTATGCATCATATCACCACTTTTTCTCCTGGTTAGCTGATCTGGCCAAACACTTTGTCGACTATCTGCACGCAGACAAAGCTAGAGATGTTACTCTTAACCACTTCAAGAATGACTTCCATGACTGGCTAGTTGATTGTCATAAAGGTGATCCTACGTTTATTTCATGGCTAGCGGAATATGGCTCCCGAGATTTTAGACACGCTATCAACGCGCATGGGAAATTCTTACGAGGCCAATCTTTCACTATCGACTTCTCCTACAGCCATCACACTCTCTGGGATGAACTTGGACTTTCTCAAACGCCAATTATTGTAGAACAACCCACAGTGGTAACGAAAACCGTCGTTACCCCATTTGTTTACAACTGTTTTAAGAAAATGCCCTGGTCCAGTCATCTTCAGCAGGTGCAATTAGCCCCTGAAATTGAGAAGCAATATAAGAAGATGGTCAAACAGCAAACTATGTTGCTTGGGGCAAAAAAGAAGACGAACGAGACAGGAGAGATATCTATCGGGGATGTAGTCGCCATAAAAAGTGAGGATGGGTCTATCTGGAAAGGTGGTGAAGAGTTCTGGTATGCTCTCGTCCAGGGTTTTGGTAGGAATCGCAGCCTTCGGTTGATTTGGTTATATCGCCCAACTGATACTGTATGTGCCAACATGACATACCCTTACAGTAACGAGCTTTTCTTAAGCGACCACTGTAACTGCAGTGAAGGGAAGACCCCGATCCAAGATGTGGTTAAGAAAGTTCCCGTTGATTTCTTTGCCTTCCATGATCATCCAGATAGCACAAGCTCAACACTCTTCGTACGGCAGATTTATCAGACGAAAGATGAGACCTTTAAGACCCTGGTTTATAGTGACTTTACTTGTCGCTGCAATGATGCCGAGAAATCTATCCCTAAATTTAAAGCTGGCGATACCGTGCTGGCGCTGTTCTCCAACAGACTAAAACCGGCCGAGATTATCAACCTAGGGCCAGAGGAAGCTATTCTGCGAGTATTTCAATACCGTGGTAAAGACCTTGGGGAGAGAAATTGTCGCCCCAATGAATTGGTCTACTGCGATAATTTTCAAACAGTCCCAATAAAGCGCATTAAAAGACACTGTCATATCCGGTTTTTCCAGCCCGATCAAATATCAAGCATCCCATGTCCTTACAATAGAGATGGAACAGGAGATGCCTTCTATATTATCTTCCGCAAGGATGGGGATACTCTGGCCCCTATGAGCCCCCCTGCGAGTTTTAATGAAGGGTTCGACCCTTCAACCTCTTCTCTGCCTAAACTGAAGGCCTTGAACCTTTTCAGTGGAGGTGGGACCTTTGATCGAGGTCTCGAAGAGGGGACTGCTATTCAAAGCAAGTGGGCAGTAGAATGGAGCCTTCCACAGATGCTGACCTACAGGGCTAATCACCCTAACGGAAAGGACCTAAAGTTATTCTGCGGATCTGTCAACGACTATCTCTTTCAGGCCATCCAAGGAAATGAAAATGAATACATTGCTAGAATAGGGGAAGTTCAGATTATTTCTGCTGGTAGTCCTTGTCAAGGCTACTGCAGCGCCAACTTCTATAGAGAGAACGAAGTGTCAATGCGTAATTCGTCCATGATTGCATCTGTTGCAAGTTACATTGACTTCTACAGGCCCCAGTATGCTATACTCGAAAATGTAACTGGCATGGCTAGCAGAACACACGAGCAAAGTCCACTTTCCCAGCTTTTGTGCACTTTCGTTGGCATGGGATACCAAGCCCGCGTCTTTAATTTAGATGCGTGGAGCTTCGGTTCCCCCCAGAGCAGGTCCAGGCTCTTTATTGCCATTGCAGCTCCAGGCCTTCACATGCTAAATCATCCCCCTTTAACCCATTCTCATCCAGATTGGACTAAAGCACGAGCTCTCGGGGATGCCCCAAATGGTCTTACTTTCGGAGACCGGCGCTGGGATACCCCCATTTTCGATTTTGTATCAGCCCATGAGGCCACCAAGGATCTACCTCCAATTGATACGGCACGCATAATGTCTATACCATGGCCGGATCACCGACCTTCCCGGGTTGAATCTGAGGCTAAACAGGCACTGATACAGAATATCCCTAAGGCACCCCGAACTCAAGGGCTAGTAGGAGCTTTGGCAAGAGGATGGGTTAATTGTGCTGACCACTCTGCTCGGCTGAGGACTCCTTACTCTAAGGCCTGGTCCCGAGTCCACCCGGAGAAACTATTTCCAACTGTTACAACATCTGTTTGCCCATTCTGCAAGTTCACAGGTCGCTGGCTGCACTGGCAAGAAGACCGTTTGATAACAGTTCAGGAAGTAAGACGTGCCCAGGGCTACCCGGACTCGGAGGTTCTCATAGGGAGTGCTGCTCAGCAATGGAAAATTGTGGGTAATAGCGTGGCCAGACAAATTGCTCTTGCTCTTGGTCTTGCAGTCAGAGAAGCATGTATACGCAATCAACAGGGTCATCCTGCTCAGGTTACAACCGTAAATATTCCCGTGTTAGAAGATGCCAAAAGCCAGCCGCCGCCATCCATTGCCATTCCCGAAAACATTTCTATACCTTTGAAACGCCATAATGATGTTACTATGGAAGTATCCCTGTCGTGCAAAACAAGAGCGGGATCAACGAAGCGAAAAAAAGTACTATCATGGGATAAATTGACTTCTTAGGTTAATCCCATGATTGTTGATCTATGAATGAATAGATGTAGCGGTCTGTCTACCTGTGTCGACGCTATTTGAAGGCAGGAAAGGGAAAGCTTGGTTAAAAACGCAACTGAAGTATCTATATCGGAATCACCCTGCCTCAAATCATCCCATATTTCCGTTATCTGAACGGCAATTTTTTCAGAGCTATCAATAAGAAAATGAAAGCGGTAGTCATTCCGCCCCTACGATACCAACTTCGTCGTCAAAGGGTGCCAAAATACCGTCTCTTGAATTCAGAAATTAGTATTGAAAAATATCCGACTTGAAATATAGCTATATGTGCATATTTTTGCAAATGATACTTTGGTATCATAGCATCAATACTTTCCTTTCACATTCTGGCCTTTAACAGTGTGCCATGGCATAGAGATGGCCAAATGGGACACAAATATAGGGTGATTATATATTAGTGAAGGGTGTATATACTATAGAAGTTGTGAAAATATCTATTGATCATCTACAAAGCATAGTTATACATTAGTTATATATCACATCCATAAACAAACCTTGCCGCTTCCTGTGCCTCCTACAACCCAGTCTTGAGTAGGATGGAAGACTGCAACTGCTGGAACTGCAGTTATCAGGCCGTCTGCGCCCCCTAGCTGGGCTAGCTGTTCACCCTTGGAGGTATATATATCCACGAAACGACTCATACTAGCTATACAGAAGCGTTGGACGGATGATTGAGGAGCAGCTTGCCATTGTGGTCGGAGGCTAAATTATTCCCTGTTAAAAATACAAAACATGGAAGAATAAAGATAAGAAGTAGCAGGACTTACATTGTAACCCATCTTCCTGTTTGACAATTATGGTTAATCACCACGTCTGGTTCGATTGTTAGAGTCTCGTTGTTTTTTCGAGGTTTTGAGTCAAAAGTCCCAAAATTATATGTCTTGAGGGTGTTATCGTATGATGAGGTAGCTATTTGACCAACACTGTTAAACGCGGCATGAGAAACTGATAACGGACTCGTGTGTTCTGCCACAGCGGTGGGTGTTTTCTTAGATAGATACCTAAGATCCCAGACTTTCATAGTTCGGTCCAAGGACGCCGTCGCAATATATTGAGGTTTGGTTGGGCAGATGGAGAAACCGCCGATTTTATTGTCAGCCAGCTGCCATTCATCAGCATTGTAGCTTTCTTCATCTTTACTGTTACCCTTTTTTCCGTTTTTACGGGTATCGTAGCGGCCAAAAACACCATTCAATGTTGAGAAATAAAGAGTATGAGGATCATTAGGGGCCATGTCGACACCAGAAAGACCAGAGCCATCAGACACATAAGCCTCGGTAGCCAATGATTTTTCCAGGTCCAGTTGCCGGATCGAGCTATCATGGCTGGCGGTGTAAAGTTTTGAAGGACTAGAAGAATGTGTATACATAGCGGCTATTGGCCGGCTATGCAATTTAATTGTTGTAATTACTGGGTCCTCATCATCGTCATCCCCAGGAGCTGTTTGGGATGCATCGAGAATGCCCAAGCTGCCAATCTTGTCCCCAGCGAACATCAATGGTTTGGATTCAGTGGGGTGGAATGTCATGGAATACACTCGTTCAGGGGTTATTTTAATTCCTTTTGACAGTTATAACGTTAGTACGAGAATGAAATCCAGAAGTGAATGTTAACGCACTGTTGGGTTCCCAGGCATCCCAAAGATTCAATCCGCTCATCTTCTCCCTTAGGGCTTTCAAGTCCTTGTCGGCCGTCTTCTTGATATCTTCTTCGCCAAAGGTTCTCTCGTACTTCGCCGGCCCGCTTGTAACAAGGGAACCTAGAGTAGAAGATTCCCATTTCCCTTTGACCCCAATTTCATCCATCCGTAAGTCCCCAGCCACCCGTCTCCTTTTTGCTTCCATTTGTAACTTCTCTGCTTCAGAAGCTTCTTCTGCCTTGCGCTTCGCAATCTCGCTATCCGGGGTTAGGCCGGCAAGGCGAGCTGAGGTCCGGCGCGGAACAGGAGCTGCTTCTTTCTCGCGTTTCACTTTTTTCAGCGGCGCCTTTTTCTTATCTGACTGTGTCCTTTTCGGCGCTGGTGCCTTGGATAGGAGGCCCGCGGATTGAGCCTCTAGACTGATCTTCTTTAGAAGCGCATCACGCTCCGCAATGTTGGCCGCGCGCTGCTTCTCAAAGTCGGACATTTCCATGGCTAGATCTGATTTTATAGGGGCCAGGGCTCTTCTCCAAATTTCCAATACCCCAGCTAGTGTAATAGACCGTACCTAGAGAAGCAGCAGTGTCGAGGCGCAAAACGTAGCGAGCTTCTCGTTTCTTTCGTTCTTTTTCGTCTATAAAATGAAAAAACGCGAAAAAACTTCAATTAAACTAATTTGGACGTCGCGTGATCACGTGATCAAGATGTCCAAAAAGTTCTCTTTTTTATTTCTTCTTTCCTTCTATAAAATATATTAATTCGATAGGTTGGAACGACAACGCAAGCCGAATTGTTGCTGCCTACGGGGCAGGCGGATTATTGAAGATGTCTAGCTCCCGTGGACTCGTCTCGTTTTGGCGTGAATCGACGCATCTCCCCTTTCTCTACCTGACGCAGACCCTGACGACCCCAGTCCAACGGCCGCAGCCGTACCGACATCACCAGCTTGCAAGCTATCCCCAAAGGTGCCCATTCTCGAATTCCAGCCGGCAAGAGATAAGATCACATCTTGGACGACGACATACGAGCTTCCGAGGTTCAACGTCTAGCCCTACATCCCGAGGTGTGAAAGCGGCCGGTGGCCTCTGCGTAGACCACGATGAACATATACCTCCAAATGACAACCTCTCGAACCAGGAGAACCGAGAGATAACCAATATCTTCACTTCGGTTCTAAGTTCAATGAGTGAAATTCACAATCCAAAGAGCCGCAAGACATTCCAACGGCCACTGGATACTCTGACCAAATCTGGAATTGACAGAGTAAACGTGAATGATAAACTACACAACTTCCGGTTCACCGAAGTGGACCCATCAGCACCAGACGAAGCAAAGTTTGCTGGCATTGATCTTTCTGTTCCTGCATTTGCTGTAGCACAAAAGGAAACGAAACGAATCTGCAAGGAGATTGATGACGCCGTGTTGGACGGAAGAGGTGATCTCGGTATTTGGAAAATTTGCGAGAATATGATATTTCCGATGCTAAAGCAAGCAGGCTTGGATGAATCACAGCCACCTTGCTCGTCGGTAAACCATCCTACTACGACTTCACTCGGGGATGATGTCTCAGGCAGATTATCCACCCGTCCAAACGGCAATGGCTCCTATCAATCAATACACGTCCACCCAGATGTACCTGTTGTAACTGTTGTCAGACATGTATATCCCGCCACCCTTCTCCACGCCCTGCGGATTCTTCAAAATAAGTTTCCAATGTCCCCACTCACCACGCGACTATTTGAGAGCATAAGGGCCCACGGGCGAGCTTCTTTAATTATGGGTTCGTCAAAGGAACTCTTTCACGAGTTGATTGATTTCCGCTGGCGCGTCTACAATGACTTACCCTCTATCGTGTCATTGCTAAAGGAGATGGAGGAAAACGGCGTCGACTTTGATAAGAGAACTCTGGAGTTGGTTGAACGAATCCGACAACGCGGGGCGCGGGAAATAATGAAAACGAGACAGGTAGATGGAAGAGGCAGAAACAGCAGCATTAAAGGCAAAAACAGGAGAGCAGGCAGCGGTGGTAGCAACACCGGTGGTACTTGGTGGGATTCACCTGCTATTCGAAAAGCATACCGAGAACTTGCCAGCTGGGCGAAGGGAATGGATGCACAAATTCGAGACTTCAAAGAACTTGAAGAGAAAGCGCAGGAGATATGGAGTATCAAACGCCCATGAACTATGTACAAAGTAATCAAAAGGGAAGAAAACGCCAATTATCTCCACTTCAAAACGCCACAGGTATCTGACTATTAATACATATAAATCTCCGAAGTATCATACATAGCACTGAAGAGTATATATCGGAGGGCCACCACCCTCAGTGGCTACTTGTGTTTTATATTTTCATCCCCAGACTTCGTCCAGCTGCAACCAAACTGCCACCAAGGAAGCCCAGATATGTCTTCACGTCACCTAGAGTTCCCACAATAGCATCTGTGTCGCCAAAGCGCCTTTCAACAAACTGTTCAGTAGAGATAAACCCATCAGATTTGTCTTCAGTCATCGTAATTTCGGCAGTGGCATATACAGTTGACACAGAAAGTCTTTTCGAGTACCATGACGCATCTACAGAGCGATCGCCTGCGAGGTAGAGAATATCAGATGAAAGCTCGTATAATTCATGCAAAGATGCGGAAATATTCGTGGGTAACGACATAATCGCGAGAGCCTTAACATTGACAAGTTAGTAACAGTATGAAAGTAATGCAGTAGAAACGAGCTTACATCTTGCCAATGCTGAATTATATCACTATTCATCTTCAATCTTTCCATTACCAACTTCTTCATCTTCTGTTCAACGCTTAGCTTCTCTCCATCACCACCAAATATCTCTCCATTTTCAACTTTCTCCTTCAATAAGGCTCGTCTCGTGGCTAGCCAATAAATAATCAGTTCGATTTCCCCTCCACGAGGAAATAGTTGTAAAGATACTTCTGGGTATCCTGCATCCTGAGCTGCAAGAACAACCGCCTCGGTTGTAAACCCAAGTGTGGGGACGTGATTTGAGAGTGCAAGCGAAAGTATTGAGGTTTGTTCCGGGGAGAAGTGGCTATTTGAGGAGGAGAGGTCGGAGGCGGAATGATAGTATGATCTCCTATAGCATGTTGCTAAGGAAGGGTTATGGCAACGGAGGCGCGCGGCTCGGTTGCATGGATATGATTGCTGAGTATAGTGCCGGGGATAGTGATTGGAGTTGCGCCTCATGCTCGAGCTGGGCAAAGGCATACATGACTGTCTGCTGCTGATGCCTAAACGTTTTTTCGAAAGAGCCAATGCTGCCGCCTGAGGCGATTGACGACGAATTAAGGGTCCTGCAAGCATTTTATCCTGCTTTCTCGAGTAAAAACCGCCAACCACGCCTAACAATGCCCAAGAGGTACAAGTTCAACCGTCATTCAGTGACAAGAAAAAACCTGGATCAAAGGCTAAATCAAGCTTCAGCGGCTGCGAGTAATTTGTGGGCGGTTGGGATGTGCAATCCCTCCTTGTTCGCGCATAAACAAGCTGTTTGTATGTTAATTAACGCATCTTTCGAGGATGTTTTTTTTTTTAGTCGAAATGATAACTAATCAGAAGCTTGGGACTATCACGTGATGCGTATTAACTTCAAAAGGAATTTTTGTATTACGACTTCAAATCGAACGTCAACGACATTCAATATATCGAAATATCATTTCGGATATCATCTCTATTCCCCCGTTCAAGGCTGTGGTGCGCTATTAAACAGCTAAACGGATATAACAAAAGGTATATTCAAATATATATGTTACAAGACCTCCAGACACCTGCGATCGACCAAAGTCCAAAGCCACAGAAATCAAGCTATAGCAGCTTTTGAGAACATCTGCCTGTCGATAATCTAAGCAGAAGCAGAAGCTCTGAGGATTTTATACCTCCTTGGTGCTCTTATGGCACCGGCCCTTGACTCCCATTCAAACTGGAACAAGAAGCCTTGGGCCTAATGGGAAAGGTGATCCGGGCAACCGAAGAAGCAGAGAAGAAAGAAAATGGGCATCTATCACACATAAAAAAGGGTTCCCACGACCGCCGTTGCGCCTTTGCACGTCATTACCGAGGAAAATCAGCCCACCCGTTTGGGAATGAAGGACAAAGAAAACTTGAAAAAGAATGGCCCGGGGCCTATACAACTCTATCATTAGTGTCATAAGTAACATCCCAGGCAGTCGTCTGGCGTATAATCATTATATCGGAGCCCGCGGAAGATGGAGCACCTGAACTTTGCGCCCGTGCATGGCGTCGATCGTTCCATTGTTTTTTGGGGAGTTTGTCGTCAGCTGTTACTGTGACCCGAGCCGGTGTAAGGTTGGAGAGCGCATAATGCTCCCCTCCACTAGTGCTATGTATAGCTCTAGTGTCGAACCATCCGGTGTTGAATAACTTTACGAACGGCTTCAGACACGGTATGGTGGCTGCCATTAGCCCGTAGTGAAGTTCAACTTCGAGGCATACTGAGGCAGCGGCGCCGTAGAAAAGGAAATCCTCATGTACCTGCTGCTGACGAAGGTAATATAATCGCGCACCTGCCGCTACCAGGACACTGCTGAAGGATTAGCAACTGTCTTACAGTGCTTTATAGGGGCGCCATGTCCTATACTCACGGAAGCCGGAAAGAGAAAGCAAAGAGGACGACGAATTTCGATTGTAAGTGCATTTGAAGACTCCAAACGAGGTATATAGGAACCCATGCTGCATAAAGCTCAACAAGGATGCCCAAAGTCTCAACAGTATACCACCGTGAATACTAGAGAAAAATTCAAATTAACATCCAGGTCACATGTGAAGAAGTGCTAAGCACGAGGAGTTCCTACCATCTGAGAGCATTCTGGAGTGATAAGTTCCCATGGTCTGGAGAGGTCGCAGCGCATGCAAATGAGGAATACCGACGTTATGCTGATAACCATCGATCCTATAGCGCCCAGATTTGCCGCCCGGAGATGGTTCTTCTGTCGAGTAAGACGAGCAACCAGCAAAAAAGTGCTGACTCGCGAAAACGCAAGCGCAACAAGATAGAAAATGTCTCCTGCGTATGCCAACTATATCCACGGAGTATGATTAGTTTAAAGCTCTTTGCTAGACTGATTTTTCAGCTCCTTCTTTCCTATATGGCATACCTTTTCAACTCGCTCTATCTCAGGTAGAGAAACGAGATGTCTTCGTCTTCCGAGGCCGGCATATGCTTCTGATATCTTCAGGCCAGTCTGTACCACCGCAATGATCTATAATTGCGCGCTGCTTAGTCTATGGCTCTTATTCATCTTGCGAAAAGGAAGGGCGGTCAGAAACCTACTGATCCAAACGTCAAAGCCCAGTCATCCTTACCAAATGGTCCATTTATCGTAATTCTCATGAACAGCCTGACCAGGTAACATAATACCATATAGGTCATCATGATCGCTGACGAGACAACGACCAACGGTCCATGTTCCTCTTCTGAGATATGATATGCTCCCATCGGATCGCAGCTTCAAGGCGGTGAGCCTCTATCAAACAGTAATGGTCAAAAGAGATTGAATTCGATCGCAAACTGCCAGGTATAGGGAACCTCGGGGTCAAAAGTTCGATTCGGTTTTCGATCTCTTCACAGGATTGGAAAATGGATTTAAGTCGGCTGTCGGTGTATACATACCATTTTCTTCCTTTCGTCCTTCACACACCGAACCTAGGGTCGATCACTGTGGATAATAATTTACAAGAAACAAATTCGAGGAAGTCTTCGATAACACTGGATGAAAAGTAAGTTGTCTTATTGACTTTTTGTACAGCGGGGGCAATTCTGTCAAGGTGTCGAGGAGAAGAGCAAAAAGCACAAGTGTGGCCTGGTGTGGGTGGAGAGGCGCGAGCGCCAGTGGGAGGAGCTGCAGGGTGCAGGGGACTCTGCCACTACTTTTCCCATACATAGTATGCCAGACTAACAACTGGTCGAACGAAAAAAAAAAAACGAAGCCAAGGGAACGAAACGGCGGATCCAAAGTAGTATCGACAGGTTTGCGTGTTGGCGGCACAAACATCGAATTGACTGGGATGTTGGATAATTATAGATATCTCCCCTTGGCAGACGTTTAGCAGACCAGCATACTGTAATGGACGATCTATACATATACATAGCATGTCATTTCCTCGATGACCTTTTTAGGCCCTCTGTACTATACAAGAAGCAGCACTGTTATCGGCTGGGCCCTTTTCTAATATGTAACAAAGGCTAAGGGAGGATGTATATGAAGAGGATAACTTGTCTGTTTGATCGTCCATACCGCTTTTCTCGCCGAGTACCCGAACTCCGTGAAGCTAGCTGCGTAGAGGGAGACTAACAGTTAGTGCGTATATAACATGATACGAGGATACTTTCGACTGCCCAAGAGGCTAGCATGTTAGAGAGGGCCCCCCTCCTCCAATCGAGGTTTTCTACAACTCAGGACAACATTTACCCCTTAGAAGGATTGGACCAGAGGCCAGCGGAAGCTCCGGTGCCTGGCATCTCTGCACGGCTGGGGCGAATTGAAGGTCGCGGTCGGTGACGGATACCCTTTTCAAAAAAGGTCTTCGACCCACCATGGCCAGTGGTCTAGAGAGTACGGAGTACATATGTAAAAGTACATACATGCGGATGTGTGCTGCATGCATGTTCCCTGCACATCACCATCTACCAACCGACGCTGGGGCAAAAACTAATTGATTCGGTCAGGTTGAATCGCCATATTGTTCCCTGTGAGAATATTGACGTCCACGAATCATGTTCCGTCGATGGGTCGGTCCCTGAGGAAAAAAAGGGGGAAATCCAACATCTTGCCTGTATCTTGGGATTTTCACAGAAAAAGAATCTCTTCATGCTGACGATGAGTAAAAAAACAAACCCGATCTAGACACCGAAGTGTTGGATTTCCTTTCTTAGTGACGTCGATGTTGGCACGCTAGCCGCTCCCCTAGTCAGGGCAGACAATGGAATGTTGTTGCTCTAGAAGCATGGGAAAAGCCAGCCACTCAACACTCCACTTGTACTATGTAAGTCTCCGATGCGGCTGGCGTTGAAAGCTAGCTAGCACAAAACGGCACACCAGGGGAAAAACAAAGCAGAGACTTTCCCACGAGTCAGAGCTGCGGCCTGAATGATGCACTGTGATGGGGGACGAGCTAGCGACATAGCCCTCGGGCGGGGAAGGGGGGAAGAGACCCCTATAGTTCAGTCCCCTGAGTATACATAGTATATACTGCACGGTACGTAGATATACTCTGGACGGAGGACTGGAAGGAAAAAGTTAGCTCCGTCAAACTTCTTTGCTCCAACTGGGCGCCTCCTTACCAAGAGCTGGGCCATGGTTCTCCATCTGCCCTGTAACATAGCCAGTTTGATGTCCAGTGGGTGTTCACATTGTTGCCCCAGGACGGCGATAGCAAGTCGGCAACTGATAGGGGCAAGCACTGATCTTCCCTCTGAACGCGTCTATCCCACCTTGACAACGTGGTTTTCGCAGGGGGAGAAGGGGGAGAAAGGATGGAGTCCAGCATTTGACCCTGAACCGCGTATATCACACGCAATCATCCATACATATATACGTGTGCCAAGGGCTCCCAATCCGTCGATAGCCCCTTCATGAATCCCTGCGATAGATGATGCTTTTGGTGCGCGACTGGCCAGCTAACAGGTAAGAAACACCGAGGCAGTGGATGAATTACCAAGAAGTGGCGGCCAGTGAAGGAGAGGAGAATCGAAGAAAAGATCAGACAGGGCCTGGCGACAGGGGGCGCGGAAGCACAGTCTAAGCAAGGATGAATGGCTCGCTAAAATGGCATCGTACGTTCCAGGGTTGCCATCTTGACCAGAAGGAATGTGAAAATGTGAACACTTGCATATGAATATTTTTTGTTCAACAGAGACACCACAGCAAGCCTTCTGGAACCCGGAACTGCAAGCCTATCCACCTGGTGGAGAACCGCTTCACGACCCATCAGGTTAACGAGGCGACTAAAGCTGTCAATTATAAGCTTGATGGTGTTAAGACTTTAGTGGGAACAAAGCTAGGAGGCGTATGGAATAGTTTTTTTTTTATGTTAATGTACGGCGTTTTCGTAAATCTCTACACCTGAGGGATGCATAGTACAAGCCTGGGAATCACACCACCGTCAGGGCTGTCCTGCCCATGGATCTCTCTCTCTCTCCACTTGCACATGGCATTCGTTTCGATATCGCGATTGTTTCTACGGAGTACGAGCTTTATCCTCCGGTCTCGTTGGCTGCAAGATTTTTTTGATAGAAAAAAGGGGTGAAGCTTCATTCCCCCGTGGCCAAGGCACTCTTTGTGCTTGGGTTGCTGAGGCGCATTAGCGGGTCCTTGGACTGTTCATAGTTATCGCTGAGAGAGACCACCATCTTCTCCTGCTGTTCCTCCCACTCGTTCTGGTCGTGTTGGGCTTCTCCGTCTCCTTCAACAGCTTCATGGATGATGATGGATGGATGTAACGTTGCCTCTGAAAACCTCGAGACAGTATCTTGCCGCTCAAACAAATCCGATGCAACCCCTCGCGCAGATGAGATGCCTCGCTGTTCTCCCATCCCTGGCGGGCTCCAAGGATGCCTCAAGGAGTATGTGCAGGGGAGGGAAACGGAGGCCCTCTTTCATTGTCCTCTCTAAAAAAATGTCCACCATTATTTGTGCGTTCAGTCCCCGCCCAGAGGGCCCCGTATCAGGGATGTCTCTGGTCGAATTCAGGGATCTATGCTTGCAGTTGACTAGCTCTCCCATGCATTTTTCTATCCAGGAAGCGTCGAGTTATTTGGCGCGAGTGGACGTGGCGTTGTGTAGGTATTAAGTAATTGATTTCAGCTCTGTCGCTCCATCGATCCACTGGGCTCTTTTTCCAAGTTGTTTCCAAAGGAATTTTTTTAAGGTACGGGAACGAAAGAGAACAAGAAGAAAAACGGTCCTTTTGTTTTTCGTTGATGCATTCGAAGACATCCAGAAGACTTCCTTAGTGTATGTACATGGTAGTGTGCCGTGTAAGTTCCGATGTGAATTCCGGGACAGTGGGAATGCCATGTCGAAATTACCCACAACTCGAACCCCGTCCATAAGATGTATTTTGCGCATAGATTTTTGCTCCGTCTCTGCATGAGAACTTGCAAGGTCCAGCCAGATGCCGATGCAAGTTGTCTCTGCATATCGAGATTGCATGTCTTTCTTTCTGCCGCTTCTCGTTGCAAGGGTAAATTCCGTCCAGAACTTCTGAGGCCATTCAACAAGGTACATAGCAAAGCCGAAAAGAAGCTGCAGCTACCGACGCTTAGTTCTGCTAAGAGGGAGAGCCATTAGGAGAGTTGTCCACAGACTTCCGGCAACGTAAATTAGAGCCATGTGGCTAGCGGTATGACGGCGCCAGCTTCTCTCATCCACCATGCAGATATATTAGCAACTGGCCTATATGTAATCGTATAGAGTAGAGGGAAAAGGCAATAGGCGCACCAATCTCGGTGCTAGGCTGCAAGCGGCAGGTGTCCGAAATGCATCTGCCATACGGAGTTACGAGAGCAGCCGGACTGGTCAAGGGGGATGCCTCCACCAAGACGCCCCCCCCAAGGGCTTTGCTGCCACCCGGGCTCTTTTTTCCCCTGGTAGCGGGAGCTCCCACTTGATATCAGTCTTCCTGCTGGTGGGACTCCTTGTAAACTGCAAAGTCGATGATGAGCGCAACCTTCTCTAAACAGGCTAGTTCACATGGCCAAGTCGTTGATTTGATTTGATAGCAGGTCGATTCATCCATTTATATAATATCTGCCATCGCCACTTTTGGTCTTTTTGAATCTGCTTCATCGGTCAGTAAGGTCAAGGACGAGAGTGCAAGCAGGGCCCTATATATAAGCAATAGCAGGCCTATCCCTTTCGCCCGTCACGCTCGTTCATTTCACCCGTCTCGTTCCCGTCTACCGCGAAGTAAGGTTGACGAAGACATAAAACGCTCTGAAAAGGCAGCCCTATCAGATCGAGAAGAGAAGAGTACAGAGAGAGAGACGAATATAATCGCAGAGACGACCAAGATGTTCGCATCAGACGTCGTTGAGACCGGCAAAGGCGACTTGGACGTCAGCTTCAACTCCGCCGACGATGCATCCAACAACGACCAGAAGGACATGTCCCGCCTGGGGAAACCTCAGCAGTTTAACGTGAGCTTCCATCTAAAAAAAAACCCCTTCGCAAATATCACTGACTGACTGTTTCTTAGAGAAATTTCCGTTTCTTGTCTACTCTCGGTTTCACTTGTACGCTGATGGCGACGTGGGAATCGATTTTGCTGTAAGTTGTATAGAACTTCTTGCAAGCTGAATATGGACTAAACACCTTCATGAACAGTACATCTACTCTTGCTCTGGTAAATGGAGGCAAGGCTGGCATGGTGTACATGTACATTGCCACATTTATTGGTTTCTTCTGCTCTGTCGTCTCCATGGCTGAGATTGCTTCGATGTAAGTGATATATATGTGTATATACACTGGGTTCCCGTCTGATGCAGCAGCTAATAGCCATGGAATTGCAGTTCCCCAACGTCTGGAGGCCAGTATCATTGGGTCTCAGAGTTTGCTAGTCCCAAATATCAGAAATTCCTGAGTTACATCACTGGTAAGATAGCTGCGGCCTGCTCTCTGTCCATCTATCAATTGGCAGCACTAATGGTTCCTCAGGTTGGCTCTCTGTCTTGGGATGGCAAGGTGGCTTTGCCAGTATTTGTTTCCTCTGCGGTACTCTCATCCAGGGCCTCCTCAAGCTGAACTACGGAGATGACTATTCCGCTGAGAGGTGGCATGGAACCCTCCTCACTTTTGCCATTGCGTTGATTGCTACCTTTGTCAACACCTACGCCGCTGGCCACCTCCCCAGCTTGGAGGGATTGATTCTTATCCTCCACATCTTCGGATTCTTCGCTACCATGATCACCCTCTGGGTCATGGGTGAAAAGTCCCCGTCAAAGGAGGTCTTTACTGAGTTCTCCAACTTTGGTGGTTGGTCTACCGTAGGTCTTGCTGTCATCGTCGGTCAGATTACTCCCATCTTCTCCTTCCTGGGGCCAGACGGGGCCACTCATATCGGTAAGTAACTAGTCCGAAGAAGTTCATGCCTCCATTCATGCAGATGTAAAAGCTAACTCTCGTGTAGCGGAGGAAATTAAGGATGCCTCCAAAGTTGTTCCATGGTGCATGATCTTCACGGCCATCATCAACGGCAGTCTTGGGTTCGTGATGCTGATCACCTTCCTCTTCACCATGGGCCCTGTGGATGACTCCATCCTCGCGCCTCCAACCACCTTCTCCTTCCTCTCAGCCTACTACTATGCGACAGGCTCCAATAGCGCAACTACAGGCCTTGCATGCATCATCCTCGTCCTCGAGGTGTGCAGTGCCATCAGTATTCTCGCCACCTGCTCTCGCCAGACCTTTGCCTTCGCTCGTGATAATGCCCTCCCCTTCTCCGGATTCTTCGCCAACGTCAACCCAATGTCCAAAATTCCAGTCAATGCTGTCCTGGTCACTACTTTTATCACCATTCTTCTCTCGCTCATCAACATTGGCTCCACAGCTGCCTTCAACGCTATCGCCTCCATCACCGTCGGATCCCTCTACGCATCCTACGTGCTGAGTATCGCCTGCTTCATCAACCGCAGAAGAAGTGCTGAGCCGTTGCCCGCACGACGATTCTCCCTAGGCAAGTGGGGGATGGGAATCAACGTTTTCTCTGTAGCCTACCTCTCCTTTGGCTTTATTTTCACCTTCTTCCCAGGCTCCAGCACTGTTACTCCCGAAACTATGAACTGGTCTTGCCTCGTCTGGGGAGCCGTCATTATTTTCGCCATTTTCCAGTACGCCATCCACGGAAGAAATGTATACGAAGGCCCAGTCGCATACATCCGCAAGATGCAGTAAACATCTTCTCCATACAGCAAAAGTGAATATTCCCTCTTTTTCATGGCGCTTTCCACATTACCGTCTATATTTTAATTTTCTTCCTGCTACCGTTCTATTTCTTTTCCGCACTTAACGGTTTTCTCTTCTCTGTCACTGTATTGCATTATGAACAAACTTTTTTCAGGGGGCTTCATGATTTCACCCTTTTATTTGGCTTTTTCTTTCTCTCTCATACCCTACCTATATACTTATGTCTATGTAACTTATGCGTATAGGTCAAGTTATATCATGACGGAATATGCAAGCGGCATGCAGGGTTCCGCGTTGTCTTTTTGTCTATTTATATAATACTCCTTAACCTCCTTACTCCTTACGATTGGCTCCATTTCCACGTTATATATATATATATCGACGGTTCTATCCATCCGGAGTTTTAAGTCTTATTGCTTCCCATCAGTGCTCCAGCAAGAACTCCGGCGTCGGGCTATTTACCTCTAACACGGATAGATCCACTTCATCCGGCAGCACAAGCGAAGGGCGTCTTCTCTGCAAGCCCTCTACGCCTCACGCGTGTATAAACTGCCGGAATATTTTTTTTAATCTCGCAGAAGATACAGAGTTAACTACCTTCTTATTTAGGCAGGTCGTTTGTGCTCGTCATGCTGCGTCCCATCTTCGTATTGTTGCTATTATGTGTGGAGGAACGCCCTGTGATATGGAGTTTCGAGACGAAGGGGTAGATTGGACGAATAACGAGTGTAAAACATCCTCCTGTGTGGTTCTCCTTTGATTGCAGGTGCCATACATCAATATGTCCATATCTTATGTATATACATGTACTGAGCAAGGATAATGTATGCAACTTCAAGGGTGCAGTCTCTAAAATCGTCCATTAATATCGCCTCTATTATGCCATATAGTTTTTTCAAGATCGCCCTAAGCCTGCCCCATATGCATATATAAATATATATATATATATATATATTGCTAAAAAGAGTGCCCCCAAAAATGGTATACTAGGGAAAAGGATGATAGGGGAAGTATACAGAGTATGGAGAGAACAGGGCAAACGAACGTCGGTTAACTCCTTTTAGCATCCGAGCTGTGGATATCCCAGCGGGACTAGGATGACGGAAACATGTGGGTGATATTATGACATGGGGGGCCTATAGAATCCATGCTTATGGGTATATTCATTATGTTATGCATTGTTTTATGTTCAAGATGCACATGGGGAAATAGGCCAGACATCAGATTGCAAGGAAACCAACGAATAGAAGCCTTTATAACGCTCAAAAAGTACACGCATAAATCAGGTTGTCGTTCCGTTTGGCCGGTCTGACGCCACAAATATGCTGAGTGGCATCGTCATGACAATGGCATAGTTGGGCATATCGACGACTTCAGCCATCTTCAGACAGCCTGCCACGCTAGTGAGCATGTATGCCTCCTCCCGCGTCAGATCCTTGGTGCAAGTGAGCCATTCAATCATACTCCGGGTTGCTTTCCGGGTTGCCTCGAGGAGGTCGGAGTCGATGCCCATGGTTGCATATTCCCCCTTGTCGGACTCGATATCTGACGCAGAGAGCGTCTGCTTGAGGGGTGGAGTCTGGAACTGAGGGGACGTTACCCACGGCTGGTTCTTGCAGACCGTTAGGCGTAGGGAAGCCGTGAGAGTGGTCTCAATCGCAGTTCCGCATACCTCTCCGTCACCCTGGGCGGTATGGCCGTCACCACAGCTGAAGAGGGCTCCTTTCGTACGGATGGGTAGGTACAGCGTAGAGCCGGTGGTCAGATATCGACAGTCCATGTTCCCCCCCGTCTCCAGCGGCGGGATAGTAGAGAACTCGCCTTCGACGCCCGGCGCGACTGCCATAATTCCCAGAAACGGTGCCTTGCGGATGTGTACACCCTCCTTGAACTTAACATACGGCAGGTTAGAGTCGATATCCCATATCTTGAGCCTTGCTTCGAGGAAATCATCGGCTAAAAGCCCGAAGCCAGGTACTATAGCCGTCCACGCCCAGTCGCCAAGTTGGAGGTCCAAGATATCAACCTTGAGCACATCTCCGGGCTCTGCATCGTTCACATAGATGGGTCCAAAACCAGGATCCGCCCTCTCAACGTCGAAGTTCAGTATAGCCTCGTCACCGGATTCCCTTGTAATCATGCCATTGCTCCCGTCGAGCGCATCGAAGGTGACCGTCTCTCCGGAGTCGATCGTGAGGACGGGAGGAATATCGCGCGACCATTTCAGGTGCTGCTGATGGCGATGGACATGTATCGTCTTGGTTGAGAGTCCCATGGCGACAGATAGACGGGCTACCCTTCGCCTCTGACCTGTATCTGCGTGGCGTCGGTAGTACTATCTTTACCCGGCTTGTTGCTCTTCATCCAGCCTCCAAGCAGCACTTCCATGAGCAAAGGAGGGAGAGAACAAGCAGGACGGCGGGACATGCGCAGCCTATATAAAAAGAGTCCCCTTTTTCTCCCAGAGTTGCGCTCAGTCCATCCTTGCAACAGGGAAAAAGGAAGAGGGAAAAAAAGCGAACGGGGTTGAGTGGGAACCGGTGGGCTGCCCGAAGAGGAAGGTCGGTTTTGACGGTAACGCCGCTGGTGGAGAATCCATTAAAATATAGAAAACACTCATGGACACAGACACAGACAGGCAGACATATACACAAATAAAAATAAACATAGCGTATAGACAACCGCAAAGAGGAAGGAGATTAATATCTGGCCTGCAAGAGACGTAAGACAGTTAGCAAGCCACCGCGCGGCGTCGCTCGCTTCGCCTGGTCGTTTTGGTTCGAGTGGTCGGAATTGGCATCCGAGATGGCATATATATACAACCCGCCGTAGCCAGCAAATAATATATATATATATAACTTATATATTGAGGTTCTATGGTCCGATTCGACATGATCTGCAAGAGATTGTGGCTGTTTCTGTGCCGCTGTCTGGGGAAATAATGGTCGATGTGCTATAGCCCTTCCAGGGGGGTCCCCTAGTACGTTCCCTGGGATCTATGTACCTAACGGCGGTACATTCCCTTCTCCCAGACACTCCCCAGGCAACGCCGACACAGCCCGCGAAGAAGGAAAAAGGGCGTAAAGCGGCAGGTCGAAGTGATCTCAAGTTGATGTCAAGTGAGCATTCACTTGCGGTGGCTGTTTCAAGGCGTGAGCAAGCCCGGACGGTTGAATGCTCAATTGACGTTGAGCCGCAATGCCAGGAACCTCCCTGCAGAGTAAGGAAATGAAAGGAAGCACACTTGGTTCCTCTGCCGAAGTTTGATATATATCTGACTTTTAGGCGAACGTCTCGGGGTGTTGATCCCATAGTATAGGCGATCACGGTTCATAGCTGGTGCTTTTCGATAGCAATCCCTGCTGCGTTGCTCAAGTCGTAGGCAGTAGTTATTCGACCTACACTGCCTCCACGAGTCAGATTTCTTCTGCTGGAGACAGGGCGTCCGGTAGAGTTGGTCTAGTCGTACGCAGTATCAGTTCCAGAGAAAGCATCAATTATTCTGGCTCGCTCGTGTCATCAAAACGGGCTCCATATACACTTGTACGTGCCTCGATGAATATGCTATAAACGCGTCAGTCAGGTACTGTCCTTAATAGCAAATAAGACGTTCCTTGCCTGCAGGACTTCAGGGAAGAGCCAGGGATCTTGAGGATCAGCAAATTATCTATATAAGTGTATCTGATTGCTATCAAGGTAGACTTCTGTCTTTATTTTTGACATTTAGTTATCGATTTACCCGTGAAGCTGAAGAATGTAACCAACCCGCTAACTTCCTCTATCGTAGAAAGCTGCAGTTAGCTTGACAAGTCAAAATTCTTGTCTTGCGTACCGAAGCCAGCATTTCAAATATTCCTGGCTATATATTTATATACCAAAGGGTTTCCATATTCAATTGAAGCTGAAACCACTACAACTGAGACACTTGGCCTTCTAGCCAACTCGGCCACGGCCAAATTATAGGTAATGGTGAGCAATCACTGATATTCATACTTCCTAAATGCTTGAGACTCTATAAAATGAGTACGGAGACTCATACGCTGCATAGTAACTAGTATCGAGGACGTTGCTAACGCCTTTGATAACCATCATGCTGGTTAGTCTATAGATCCTAGCCTTAAGCTTTTCTCTCCAGACTTCTCGCATTTCCATGTCTGGTTATACTCCTTTTCACTTGTGCTACTATATCTTCAAATAGAATATCTGTCCTTATCAGCATTGTTTACTGCCATTCGTGACAGTTCTATTACCGCGGGTGGTCGACGACAGTTCAAAGGTGGTAGTTTTAATACTGGATTTTTGCCGGGAGTGCAGCTTGAATAGATCAACACAGACAGACTGCGGCCCCTCTTGGGCAGTGTTAGTGCACAGCATCGAATCATCAGATATATTGAGAAGAACTTATAGCTTTAACATGTAGCAAAGGCCAATACATTTGTAGGGTTATCAACGGAAGATGCAGTCGATATAACCAAGTACATACTCGGTCCTTACTATGTATAAACATGTGACGTCATATACATAGTCATTAATGACATAACTACGTCATTGCCGTCTGGGGAAGAAAGCTTAAATTTGTTACTATTGAAGAGCTGCGAAGACTTATAGGAAGACGTTGAGAGAATATAGAGCTTTGAAAGGTGCGTCAGCTAAAGGACAGGGAATTGTTCAAAATATTACCTTCTTGAAAGACAATTGCTCGGATGCCACCCTTCTTGTCGGATATTTTATATACCACTGCATATTCAGGGGAATTATAGGGTTAAAGGGTTAGAGTAAGTTCTTAAGGGTATAAGGTTATTTTCAAGGGTTGAGATAAATATGTCCTTATACCTAATAAATACCTATGGTGGTGGTGGTGAGGTGGTGTAAATGGTTGCCGTATCATATGGGTATGGCTCGTCAAGATGAGTGGCGAAATGAGTGTCAACATCGGTATCAATATTCAATAGTATCAATCATCATATCAATGGAATGATATGGAGAACACCGGCACGGTGCTATGCTCGCACTGGCTGTAAACGCATAACACATTAGAGCTGCTGGCTGTGCAGTACAATGCTCAATACAATGCAGAATGTGCGTGTATTCTTGATCCGAGGAGTAGAGAACCCGGCCCGGGTACCGGGTTCCCCATCAGTGGTAGAAGGTATATATATTTAGATTACTCCGTAGTATCTAACAAGATATATACTATCCCCGGGGCCATAGTACAAGAACTGAGTATATAACCCAAAATATCACAGCTTTATTCTATTAGGTTAGATAGGTAAAATGGGTGACATGCATTGGTATCCGAGAATCTGGAAAAGGTGGCGGCATTCAAGCAATTAGACGGATATAGCAATCATCCAGAAAAAAAAAAGCAAAGGTACCAGTGTTTCTACTGAAGTGGCCAAATGATAACACATGCTAACAAAACGAGTACATTGAAGACATCTACTCGTGCTAGCACATATGGTCGCAGCCTCATCTTCAAAAATTGTGAGCTGATATACATTCGCCCATCTGTTGAAGGATCAGAGTCATAGTTCTCATACATAACATGTACGCTCATGCATTGAGAATCATTGGTTTCAATAATATGTCAAGGAGAACACACTAGCGATAGGTGAAAATGCACCATCTCAAATACTAGCGGGGGCTTTATTCCGATTTATCCGGCCAACGTACCCATGTTCACAAGAAATATGTGACTTGAAATGCGGCCTTGCAGACAAGGGCGAACGGACAGCTGGCCTGAACTCGAGGAGAAGTTTTCCGTACGGGATACCATTGTAGTGGGTGTCATGGCGTAGAAGGCAGCCGCTCACATACAATGTATGTAATAATATTTGCACAGAGCCATGTGGGTCGGCGAATATGCTATCCACAAGCGACATTAAAGCCAATAAGCTGCTGTAGTTGGTGGCAGAACCCAAGCCCAGCCCGCAAGAATTTCATTATCGGAGGTAATTCCTGAAATCAACACTGAAGCTTGAGCTTCCTTGTTATAGATCAGCCGCGGAACTATAATATTATCCAAATATGGAGAGCGGGATATCAATAAAAGCTGCGCAATAGTTCGCTATTGATGGCGGTGTAAAGTGAGCATTGCACGCCTTTGGGGAGGCTGGACCATCCTTTGCTTGCGGCCTGATATGCCAATATGCGCTAGGTTGTGCATAACCCTTACAGAATCAGAACAAAAGAGCATTGATCGGCAGAGAATCGATAACTAGTTGGCGCTAAATACGTCTAGAAGTTGAGCGGCTGCTGTGTTTAAAATCTGCATCAGTTAGCTCGTGGGTCTTCAGTGTTCTCGAATAAATAAGGAGTTGAGGAAATTTTCATCAGATTACGTGGTTGGTCTTTTTTTCCCCAGTGGCGCTCTTTTTATATTCAATATCCCAGATGTGAAGGCTGTAGATACTCGATGGGAGTTCGTCGATACCGAGCCAACGTAAGGGAACCTGCCTCCGATTCTTATATGTTGTGCATTGGTCACAAAATCCATTAACAAGGCAGAAATATCCCTTCCCCCAAATTTGGGGCCGGCGAAGCCGCGATGGGGCCACGACGGTTAATTTTCTCGAGAGAGCCAGAGCAGAACCGCCGAATATATTCTATCCACGTCATGAAGTATGACACGGGAGGAGAGAAAAAGCTGAAGAGCAGATATTAACACCTCATCTAGATCGGTCGAGTCCTGACTGTATATTTAACCTGCCAAGGTCACCTTCCAGCTTGACGGCCGCAAAACTACTTTTCTAGGTCTAACAAGGCGTTCCTATATGTCACACTTGGTTATCACACAATGGGGGATAAATGTGACAGCCATCATTTGTAAGGCTCAGAATTTGCAAGTTGAAATTTGCTAAACTTTCTGGATTGAGTATTTAATGTGCGTGGAAGGACGAGAGAATGACGGGCAGGGTAAGTTCTAGATTTAATGCCGAATGAAAGTCTCTCTATTGGCCCACGGGCAAGGTGAGAAGTATAGTCAGACCCTTGGAATGAAAAGGATCTCCACTGACAGGCATGGACGACTGACAAAACACATACAAGTAGGCAAAATGGAAGGTTCCTGCCACACAAGCATGCATCGACTGTCCAGCAACGGGTTACACAGCCCTGCTATTGGTGGATATTGAAGGCTCCTGTGAGCAATATGCGCGCAGGCTGCCGAGCTGACAAGGGAAGTCCGGCAAAGAACCTTCATGCAGAGGCTGGAGAGTGAGAAAGACATGAAATAATATGCATGGGATGCATTAGCCGAAAGGCAATAAGTTGAGATCAGCTTGTTCAGGAGGATGAGACTTATCGATAGGCATGCGCGACTGAAGCTAGGGGATAAATGGAGGACTGGAACAGACCAGGATTGGTGTTCGTTCAACCATGCTCCCTCGGCCGTGAGAAGAATCATAGCCCGGTCTTCCAATTGGATTCTTGACCGGTTTCCGCCTGCCATTTTAAGGCATCCATGTATGTATGTATGTAACTCATAACGCGGTTTCCCTACTACCAAGAGATTGGCGAGTTGTGCAACCCATACGAAGCCTGTCTTGCCGGTGATCTACCCTGAGGCTCTCTCAATAAAATGACCAGTGGCAACAGGCCCTAGTTCATGTCTTGTATTTTCGAGTCAGGCAGAAAAGGGTTTGTTGGCCTAACCGAGCGCCTTGATGGTCAGTTTGGATATATGATTCTGCCTTCCAGGAGACATGTAGATTGGACCGCTTCCAAACGACTGGAAAATATAATAAAATGTAGAGACATATCTCAAACCAGGCTGGCTTACCAGCAGGCCCAGCTGTATTTCGTTTGTTTGGGCCCCTTTTGTTTTAAAAAGTAATGCAGTACCAATACGAACCAGGAAGAAAAAGAGTATAACCGGATATCCAGCGGACTGGTTATGATTCATCAGAGAAATGAGAGAAGAACCATTTGGCAAGTACATCACTCGAGTTTGAGACACTTTTTTCAAGGTGATTTTATCCCGTTGCAGAATAATGTGAAAATTAGAGGGTCTAACGGGGTTAACTGAGTCGATTTAGTACCGGGTAAGGAGTGGAAACAGGGTATCGTCTGAAGGAGTTATGGCAACTAGAAAGACAGAGAGTAGCCTGAAATCTCTTTATGGGCGGGTTCCGCGAAATATAAGTATTACTCCTTAGTACGTGGCGAAGAGGAGAGTATATAATGGCCTACGGATGAGGCTATCCTGGACGACCAAGGGAGATAACATAAGGAAATTAAAGCCTGACATCGTGAGGAGGCACCGAGTACGGAGTATGGAGTACCCGTATAGACCATGTATAACATACTATGTAGTGCGTTCTGGAATGAAATAATGCAGGTATTTTTGATGGTGGCTGACTGTCTGCCGGGGTACTGTGGGCCTCGTTGGGAGCAGTGAAAAAGAAAAAGAGAAAGCAAACCAGTACGAAGGCTACCATATGCCACTCCAATCGGAGCCTAAGATCTTTCGACCTCTTTGAGTATCACATACTTTGCTCACAGAGCAAGGAAGGAACATACTCTGGGTGCTATATAAACTTATATAGACAAGTACGGAATTGAACGTATGACGATTGGACATGCCATTTGGCCGTGCAACCCGGCGTAACGGGTTCATCCCTCTCTCTCTCTGTGCCTTTCTTTTTCTTTCTTTTTTCCTCCCCGTTTTTTTGCTGCTGGCAGTTGACAGCATAGGGTGCGTGCTCATATAAGAGAGAAAAAATTGCTCGTAAGGGAGTCCTGGTTTCACTAAAGTATGCAAGATCGAACATCATGTGCGACGGGTTCAGCGAGGTAGCCAAGGGGGAAACGCCTGGAAAGAGATAGAGAATCCGGAGGAAGATGCCAGGATAGAGGGTAAATTACGAGCACTTACTGGCCATCCTCGAGATATGATCCTATCCAATATGAACGCCCTATAATAGCTCCGTGGCTCCGCGGTCATGTTGATTGCTGGTTGGTGGCTGCTGATGGCCGGTCAGGAAAGCCCCTGGCCGTGCATCGACTAGGCCAGCAAGGATGTGCCTTAAGCCGCCGCGGATAGCGTTGCACACATACTTTTTCCCTCTCTTGGTTGTCTGTACAGAGTACATGATGCACATTAATCCTGTCCGTTCCCTCTTCATATTTCCCAAATGGCCCTGGGACATCAACAGCTCCAACACCACATCGGAAGACGTCCATGGCCGAGCAGGGGTTCTGACGGCCGTCGTCTGCTAGCCACCTCGGCCCTGGACACCACCTCTAGCGCTGTGATTGGAAGCAGACGGGTTGAGTCTGCGCAACAGCATCCTGAACGAAGTTCTTGCATGCAGCAACACCATCAAGTGGGCTTGGTCTGTAAGGGTCCAGCCAATCACCACAACTATCCCTTTGTCTCATCTTCACGTCTCATATTCCGTCTCTTCATATCGTCGTTGAGGGCTCTGTATCTTCTGTTGTATATAAAAAAGTTCTCCTTGTAGCCTTTTTTTTTTGGTTGTACGTTGGAAAAAAAGTAAAAAAAAAAAAAAAAAAAACCAAAAAAAAAAAGGGCGCTTTTGGTGTCTATCGCCCACCCGAGTCACGCCTCTCCCAAAAGGGTAAGAGAAAAGCCAAAAAAAGCAACTTTGGACGACGAGCTTTCGTTTTCTTCCTTTTTTCTCTCTCTTTTCTTTCCCCCCAACCACGCGCAAGAAGAAGACGAAGAAGAAGAAAAGAAGACGAGGAAGACGAGGTTGCCCGCGCATATATACATAACTCAGCCTATTGCGCGTGCTTCCAGACCGCTCCGTCGAACCGCGGAAAAACAATCTCGCAAGGCAGCTTCTCTCTCCTCTAGCTGCAGCCGACGCAGCACAGCGAACTCGCCGTCTTCCCCCCTCCACGCTCCGGCCTCACTTCTCACGCACGAAAATACATACATTCAAACCCTCCCCAGGAGCAGTAACTCTCTGGGACATAGATCCGAACTGGCGACTCATCCCTGCTCCGTGATTTCTCTAGCTCCTCCAATTACATCCACCGGAAGCTTGTTCGTCGTTGTGCAGCCCATTTGAGGTCGCGCCATCCCCCATCACGCTTATCCCCACGGCTCACCAACGCCCAAGCCAGAACCCGCAGAGCCCCAGAACGAGAGAGAAAATAAAAAAATAAAAAATAAAGCGACCGGAGCAAGGAATAAAAAATAACAAAAAATAAAAGAAAGAGTACAAAAACTTAGGGAAGAGCGGAGAATAGGTTCCTCCCGCGAGTTGTTTCTGAACCTGTGCTGGAATCTGAAAGTCCAGTGCTTGTTGGCTGTCCTGTTCATCGCTG